CCTCTCTCCCTCTCCCTCTCCCTCTCTCCCTCTCTCTCTCCCTCTCTCCCTCTCTCCCTCTCTCTCTCTCTCTCTCTCATTTCAGATAAACTAAAAGAAATGTTGAGATATTGCCCAGCTCTGACTTCTGTTGCCCTGGATGAGACCTGTCTGAGTCTCCTTCTCTAGCTGTGCGGCATTTCATGAAAAGACAACTTTCGAGGAAAGAGTCTAGTCAGCAAACTTGTGGGTTTACTGAGGCCATGGTTTAAGAGGATTTTGGCCTGGATGCCCACCACATCTGGCTGCACTTTAGGTCATGTCTCGGTCACGGTTCTGTGTCGACTAGAAGCATTTCAGAAGCATTGTGTCTTCAGCAAACACAGGTAATTTGGTACTCACAAATGACTGACTTCCCGTCTCTGGCACATGTGGTTTGAGCGAGTGATCAAACACAGCAGATGGAAGAAGAAAAGTCAAACACTGAGACCTACTGTGCAATGAGTGATGCCAGGCAGCCATAGACAGATGGGGTGTACATGTTTCCATTCTGGTTGGAGATCAGCAGGGATGGCCTGGTCTTCCTCTCAAACATATCTGCGCTGGCCTTCATGAAGGCCTTCTCCACATCCCGGTCAAAGTAGGTCTCTTCTGGTTGTACATCTCTGATGTCAAAACACACACAATTAGCAAGAGAATCATAGCAAGTGTTTCTTTTTGATGCCACAGAATAACTGCATTGTACGCTGACACTTTCCAAGGAGTTATGTCTCTTTGAGCGTGTAATTACACTGAGTTTAATGACAGACACTCTGCTCATCAGTCTTTTGTTAGCTACACTGGTTTGTGGTGACACAGTGATGAATGATACCAGGTTTCACAGTGACCTCGTTTAAAATAAAGACTAGTTAAAGAGAATTGTTGAGTGAAATCCTGCGAACATCTACGGCGACTTGAGGTGCTGTTGTGTTGGACTGTAGTCGGCCCAATATTCAGCACATGCATTTATAAAAAGAACAGAGGCTCTTGAAGAATTATGACTTTTGGGGGATTTAGAAGATGAAACGTGTCTGGACTAAGTAAGTTTTCTACATTTAGTCATTAGGAAGTATTTTCAATATGGAGATCAATTTGTAATACAATGAATTATATGGACGAGTGAGTGGGTATTAAAGGAATAGACAAGATGGCAGGAGGTGGTGAGGAAGGTATGAAAAAAGGAATTCAGCAGTAAGCAGGAGATGAAATGACACCCTGGGCCATTTACAGCCATGTATACCCTGTTAGAGGGCATAGTTTGTTTATGTAGAAGTCAGTCAACCTTAACCAACCATTATGTTAACTGACTTGTTCTGATGACACTGTATAAACCGTTAGCGATGAGGGATTTGGGTGAAGAAGCATGAGAGAAATTCATAAGACCCACTCTGTTCTTGACTCAAAGCAATTAGAAGTCATGTTGTGACCAACAGGCAGGTGAGGAACTAGCTGAAGCAAAGTCAGAACTGGTTAGTTATTCTCTAACCTCAAGACAATAATCACATCTCATGATAAACCCCAAACTTTACTTCAGCTGTTATTTGTGGTGCCTGCCATTTTATTACAGAGCTCAGTGGCATGTAACTCTACTCAGCTAAACACAAGAGTACTTTTCCAAAATGAGTATTGCTTTAACGAGGAGACCCTCTAATCAAGAGGTTTTGCTGTCCAGCTGTTTGACTCTGAGTACCTGAAAGCGTCGAGGCCTGTGAAGGGTCCAGTCTCAGTGTTGGGGCTGGGGTGGCTCAGAAAGTCATTCAGCACGAGTCTGGCCAATGACTTCTGCACCAGCTTGCAGTATGGGGAGTGAAAGACTAGATAGTCAAAGTCCTCCAGGCTGAAGCGCTTCTCTGAACCCTCTGTCAAGAAGAAGAATGGTTTCCTGTTTGGTTAAGTCTTAAGAATTCCAAACAGACTGTGCTCCAGTTCATTGGCACAGCCACAAAACACAGAAAGAGCAGGTTTTTTCCCCCAGACATCAACACTTGCCTTATTCTACAGTTCACAGCATGCACACTGTACTAGGTACAACAATGACAAAGTGACAATATTCATTTCAAGATTGGAAACACACCAAAATGTCAAACAGCTGATGTGCTATTATGGAAATACAGTGTTGGTAATGAAGTGTTTGTGTCTTTAATAGCCTTGTGTTCTCAGATAATGTACATGTTGGCACATCGGGTTAAAGGCTCCACTCATTGAACTTTATGGCCACTGAGCTTAAGTAACTTTTTTAGCACAGCAAGCAGGTAACATTCTAAAACCTCTTAACTCATTAGTATTATACATCCAGTCCGTCCACTACACTCTCCGTCACATGAACCTTTCCAATGGAAATGTACTTTGACCATCAAACATAACAGGCAAGAAAGCTGCATCACACCCTTACTATCAAGTGTAATATTATAATTGCTCTTACAGTGGGTACGGAAAGTATTCAGACCCCCTTAAATTTTTCACTCTTTTTTATATTGCAGCCATATGCTAAAATAATTTAATAATAATTAATAGTTCATTTTTTTTCCTCATTCATGTACACACAGCACCCCATATTGACAGAAAAACAGAATTTGACATTTTTGCAGATTTATTAAAAAAGAAAAACTGAAATATCACATGGTCATAAGTATTCAGACCCTTTGCTGTGACACTCATATATTTAACTTAGGTGCTGTCCATTTCTTCTGATCATCCCTGAGATGGTTCTACACCTTCATTTGAGTCCAGCTGTGTTTGATTATACTGACTGGACGTGATTAGGAAAGCCACACACCT